AACAATCAGAGCGAACCCTGGGCCTCCTACTTCTTTGAGTCACGTTTCTCCATATATCTGGCTCCTGTGTTGGTGAACTAGCCACCTTCTCAGGGGAGTCCCCTGCCTCTTCCTTGGTGGAGACGGTGTGCTCTGTTGCTTCCAAGAAGAGTTCCAGCTCTCTAATTCTTTGGAGCGTAGCTACACGTTCCTCCAGTTGCTGGACTTTGTCTTTTAAGAGGGCAATCAACATGCAATTGCTGCAGGTAAAGCTGCCTGCAACCTTTGGCAAGATGGCAAACATTGCGCAGGAACCACAGGCGACTGCAGCTGTTCCCTCACCCTCCATCTTGGGAACGTGTCGTTGGGGGTGACTACAGTGGTCCTACAAGAAAACCCTTTTTGTTCCTTCTTCAGCTGCTGCCCTAAAGCACGTCAGGATGGCAGGAAGCCTATCACCATAGACATACTTTATCTAATTTGGAAAAAACTACCAGAGATCTGCTGGTAAAATTTTGAAACTCGTCTCTTTCGGGCAGCATTCTCCCTAGCCTTTTTTGGTGCCATGCGCATTGGGGAGTGTTTGGCTGGGCCCCTGCAATCAGGGTTGGCAGACAACGACATCAAGTTCTCTGGGCATACGTTGAATGTCAAGATTTGGGCCTCAAAAACTGACCAATTGCGGAAAGGGCTCACGCTCGCGCTGTCCTCAACGGAACAGGCGGGCCCCTGCCCATATCGCGACACACACCGCTTCTACAGGGTCCGGCCCCAGTGCAAGGGCCCTTTCTTCATTCACTAAAACACGCGCCCGTTGACGCGATCACAATTCACAGCGGTTTTACGCAAAGCCTTATCTGCTTGCGGTGTTAGTCCCCAGGAATATTCTGGGCACTCGTTCCATATCAGGGAACGATACAGCGGCGATACAGGGTTGGGACCCCGCACACATCAAGACATTGGGGCGCTGGCGTTCGGCAGCCTACAAAAGTTACATTCGTCCCGGCTCCTCCTCCTTATCACTTGCAATTTAATTGTCGTACAGGTTTGCCCACCATGAAGATCTGGGTGATAGGCCACAGCATTGTCCATTGGGCGGCAGATTATGCACGGTCTCAAAATCATGGCCATAACCGTAACATCCACCCCAAGGTACACTTTTGTTGGATGGCCAGCGGGGCATGCATTGGCGGAGCTTGATGCGCATGCTGTGTAGTGCCACAGCGACCCATGGCCCTCCAAGGGTCTTGATTATACATGCAAGGGAGAACGATCTAGTGGAGCAAAAAGGCCTTGCACTTGCCCTTGCTGCAAGCGCAGATTTGAAAAGCCTGCGTGCCTTGTACCCATCAATGACCATTCGGCTGGTCCAATCTCCTACCCCGTCTTTCCTGGAGGGGGGGTTCCAATCCCTCTCACCTCAATTATGCGGTGAGTAAAATTAACAGGGCCATGCGCAACACCATGCGGCAAATTGGTGGGTTCTCTATCCCACATCCCACCATCACAGCAGATAGAGTTGCCCTATTCCGGGGGGACGGGGTGCACCTGACCCCACTGGGCAATGACTTCTGGCTCCACGACTTGCGACGAGCCCTTGAGGACCGGATAGATTGCGGGGTTTGATTGGTCCTCGGTTGTGGGACTTGGCGGCAAGGCCCCTTAGGGCCTCGAGTGGCGGTTCTAGGCCTTGGCAAGGTAACCTTTAGTCTAACATCAAGTTGGGGGGGATGCATTCATGCTCCCTCCCCATGCGGCGGCGCATGCAGGGCCCGTTAAAGGGCAAAACCGGGAGTCCCTGGCCCTAGAGCGGCGGCATGTAGGTCAAACTCCCTGGACAAGGTCAGTGGAAGGGCATGCTGTGTAAGTTTGCGCTATGCAGTCCCCTCTCACTGGGCCTCAACTGCCTGCATATCCTCAGCCAGGTGGGCTGAGAGGGTTACCTGCCAAGGCCTGTGCCAAGTTCCCCACTTCTGAAGCTCAATAAAGTTGTGGCCAATTTGAACCCATACTCTGGTCTCTTGTCTTATCCTTTGGGGAAAGGGGTAGGCACCACAGACAGAGTTTAGCGCGTGTGCCCGCAAATAACCACCTAACATTTAGAAGACATCTGAAGGCAGCCCTGTTC